TGGATGAAGTGCAAGACTGGAGGAGCAAACGAGTCAATTATGAAAAAAAGGAAGGAACTGTGTGCAGAAATCAACGAGGAGATGGAGCTCAGGGGAAGAAACAGCAGCCAAAATGCTCTCAAATCAGAGATGCTGCTGGAGTGAGAGAGACGGAAAAGAATTGGAATATTTCAGGTAATGATAAAATTGTAAACCCCTGTCCTCTGTATTTATTTGCATAGGGCAAATAAGCTGTCTATCACCAGCTCTATCCAGACATCTGAGCATGGCACTGCTACAGACAGACAGGACAAATCAGCTACATCAAAGCTGCAAACTCTTGGTGTGCATTACAGAAATCAGAAGCAATACATGAAACTCACGGCTAGAGAGCAAGAGGAGAAAACTATGGGTCATACCTGAAAACCAGACAAATAGATGAAGTAGAAATAGAGTTAAATGCCCATAAGGAACCACAAAATTTGGAGGCTCAGAAGAGAGCACCACTTGAATGAGGGGGAAAGGCAAGCAGTTCATCAGCGACCTGTACTCATGGAGGGAGGAGGAAATGGGCTGATGCCAGATAGACTTTAAACCAAATACCCTGCTTCCATTGCCCAGACAAAGCTCTCAAATCCAGAAAAAACAATGTTCTTTCTGCATAAATTCCAGAGCCCTTACAGGAACTCATCCTCAGCATTGCTTAAGGGCTGGCACGTCAGCAGAAGTGAGAGGCGAGGTGCAGAGCGCCTAACCCAGGCACAAAAGCTTATTGCCCAGAAAAAAACTATAGGGAGAGTGTATTCATTCATAGCACAGACATCTTTGTCTTTTCTACCACAGGCAACTGGGTATTGCCTTGTATCTTCACCCTCCAGTTTCCCTTCTGTTAGTCCTTTAGAATAGCAACAATGGAGAAAGCTATAAATAAAGCTATATAAGCAATGTAATAGGCATGCAATTGCATGTCTATTTTCTTTGAAAAAAATGATGCTTTATTTCCTGTTCAATGGAAAATACAGTTTGATGTTACAACTATTAGGTTTTGACTGAATGCAGAAATTTGACTGAAACAACGACATTTCCCCCTGTATTTACTATTACCATATGTCACTGATTATATATTTAAGTTGCAAAAATGAATTAAATTTCATGGCTTCCTCCAGCTAGATTCTCTTGGAGTGGACTGTCTTTTGTTATTAACCAAAATGCTTGGAAAACAGTTTAAATCAAAACAGCAGACTTTTGGTATCATTTCAGGAGAAAACTGGTTATCACAAACCAAGTGCTTAACACATCATCATCCAGAAGGCTGGGTAAAGCCTTGCAAAGCTGCAGCTATCATGGCCAGGATAGAGAAAGAGGGTTAATTGAACACCACAGACTTAGAGATGGAAAAAGGAAAGAAAAAAAAAAGACACTGTTTGAAGCTGTCTTGCCTGGGGTCTTATTCCTTCTGCTTCTGAAGTTATCATATATCCCACATCACAGCGCTTATTTCACTTACTTAGGGTAAATATCTTCTCTAAGCTGGCTATAGAGCATTAGTGACAATCAGATTGCACATATGTTCCAGGAGAAGCCAGCCTTGCCCTTGCTAAATTTCCTCCTGCTTTCTGAGGAGAAAAAAAAGAAAATCTGTATTCTTTTTTTTTTGCTCCTTCTGTTTCCCATCATGATTTGGATTGCTAACATTTCTATCCCCACTAGGAGTCCCTGGTGGCTCCTGGCCCTTTTCTAGAGGACCAGCGGACAGCAGAGCCCCTGGGCTCCCATCAACCAGGAAGGAAGTGAATTGCAACCCACAGCCTCCCAGACTCTGAATTCTGACCTTGGAGTCAGGTGATGTAAAGAGACTTTAGGAAACTCCCCATGTCCATGCTTCCCATTCCTCCAGTCCTGTCTGGACCTGAGCAGCCAGAGCTGGAAGAGGACAGCGGTGACAAGAGAAGTCACCACTGGCAGGTTTGTGGATATTGCAGGCTGTGCTACAAGCTGCAGAGGGACCTCAGTGGTGGCAGATACAGTGTACAGCAGAACCTGAGCAGTGCTGGTGAGTGGGAATCGGGTTGTCATTCCTAATTGAAGAGTTAGGGAAGAACAGGTAAAAGAAGTTCAGCGTAAGAGAAGGACAGCTATGCTGTGCTTGCTGAAGGACTCAGCAGGCAGGATACAGCCAGGACAGGCCTCAGTGAGAACACTGCAAATTCATGTCATACTTTGCCAAAGACTCAATCAATTGAGCATGTGCTAAAGCTGAGTTTGTTTTGTCTTATTTGGAGCTTTGGAAGATATTTCCTATCTTGACTCATTGAACACACTCCAACCACACACCTGCAACTTCTGGAGTGCATCCTCTCAGCAAGAGGCTGGCTAGCACGTCGTCACTTATGCAGGGCAAATCCTACTGAAAGCACATCTGACCACAGCTTTCACACCAGTTTACTTTTACATGTAGCACATGTAAGCTAACATCTGGCAAGAACACAACTATGTCCTGATCGAGGTGGAGCTCATAGCAACAGATGGTGTTTGATACTGCAGGACCAGAGAGGCTCTACCTTAAACTGAGCATTATTTCTCTTCTGAGTTTTTACACCCTCTGGCCACATCTTCTTCTGAATGGAGCCACTGTCACCATGGCTTTGCAGTCCCCTCAAGACCAAATACACTCTCAACCTGCAGGTCACTGCCTAGTCCTAACATCCAGGTGATTTTGCTCCCATTGAGGCATGTCAGCACATGAAGCAGGGTGCTGATGCAACCATTATATTGTACATCAGTATAACATGAGGTTAGCAATGCCCTGAGCCAGACAGTGCCTCCAGAGCAGGAGGAAACTTTCTCTCCAGGCACACAGTAGCTCTGCCTGCAGGCACAGCAAGCAGCACCGGTAGTTAGCAATCTAACAAGCAACATCTGCTGCCTATTTGAGGGCAAAGGATGGAAAAGCCAGCAAAGAGTAGCCTACAGTGCCAGCTCCTGAAGACTGAGATTCTCATACTAAAGGGAAAAGCGTTCAGAAGAGAAAATCCAGCATTAAAACGAACGTTGCTGTGACTCTGGAAGATACAAGATGTGACTAACTGCCTCTGCAGCTTTACACAGTTACTGTCCGCGGTTTTTTTTGGCCAGATCTTTATTTTGCCAGTAGAAGTGCGGCGAGAGATTGCCACCTTGTGGTTCCTTCTCCAGCACTGCCATGTTTTTTTCCCACGTGTTCCAGGCTAGACCAGTGTTTTCCAAACCGCTGTCCAGGGATTTCTAGTGATAAGGGTACTGTGGACAAGAATATTTTCCAAATACTTAATTAACTAAAAAGAGCATGTCTGTAATTGACAGTCTTCAGTTCTTATGCTGAGAAACTTATCACTAGAAAACCTTTCAGGAATCTAACTTGCAAGTTAAAAACCATGAGTAACTACTGGCATGGGTACACAGCTCCCAAATAGAAAAACAAAAAGCTATGGCAGCGATGCAGAAAATCAAACCGTCTTTACAATAGTCTCACACCAAGAAGCCTGCGAGAAATTCAGGGCTGATGACAGCCTTCCCTTGCTAAAATATGGGGTGATGTCAGACAGTAGTTCCCACAAGGTCCTAATAAGGAAGGAGCAGCCATGTGCTCATCCCCCTCACCTTGCAGATAGGAAGGCAGAAGCAGGCTGTGCTGGTCCCGAGTCGTTCTGGGTACTGTTTTAGGGCAGCTTGTGAGATCTGTCCCTCAGGTAGCATAACCTGGGGCAAGGTCTGCACAAGTAGCTTATCAGCTGGCTCCTTCATCAATCATGCCCAGGTAGAGCATCAGGTAATATTTCCCCAGCGGTACTAAAGGGGAGAGAGAAAGAGGAAGATCAGCAAGAGCTTGTGAAGCAGCACACAGCCCCGTGAACACCCAGTGAATTTATCACATTTGGAAAAAAAAAAAAAATAGCTGCCTCTCCCAGAGAGAGAGAAGAGTGTCTCGTAACACAGAAAGGAGCACAGATCCCCCTGGTAGCTTTCATGCCTGTCTGCCTGCTGACACACTGACACAGAAAGTGACCTATTTTCATAGGAACAATAACGAGTGAATAATCAGAATTTTTCAGGCAGTTCCTTTACCTCCATGACATTTTCTAGCTTCCTGAGCCTGTTGCAGTTGTAAGCAAGTGCTTTCCAGCTCCCCAGCCTCGTTTCAAGTTTGTCGTGAATGTTGGTCCAGAGAGGACACAAAAGTTTAGAGAGTCCCTAAGTGCATTCTTGAGCACATACTTCTGAAGCTGATAAACCCTAGCAACATTCCCCATCAGGTCTAGACATGAGAATAAATGTAGTTACAGTGTCGTGCATTTGTTTCCTAGAAAGACTGCAAATCTAACGACTTTAAAAAGCCTCCATTAAAAAGAAAAGCCCAAACAAACAAACAAACAATCAAACCACTCCCACGGAAAGAAGGGAAATAATTTGAACTGAAAAGCTGAAGAGTGGGGCCTGGACAGATAACAGAGGGAGGCTGAATGCGAATTCCAGCTCCAGAGACTGCTGGCAGAAGCCCCTCAGCAAACCGCACAGTGCAGGGGAGGCGCAGCCCGCAGGCAGTGTCCCTGGGCTGACATCGGCAGCCAGCGCGGCCGCGGGTACCTGGGGCAGAGCTCGCTGTTCGGGCCCGCAGCCCACTCTGGCTGCCGGGGCTGGGGGCTGCCCGGTATCCCCGCCAATGTTCTCCGGTGTAGATCCGCCAGCATCTCACCAGGTGCGGACAGAGCGCGCGGTGCCGCCCGCCGCGGGGATGCTCCCGCACGGGGCGGGTGAGCGAACTCCTCGGTGCCCCGCGTAGCGCCCCGGTTGGCGGCCCCGCTCCGCCGGCCCCTCCCGCCGGGGCGCCGCAGGCCGGCTCCCGGTCGCACGTGGCGCGGCGGCCGCCCGCCCCCCGGCCCACGTGTGCCGCCGCCGCGCCGTGCAGTGCGGTGCCGTGCCGTGCCGGCTCCCCGCTGCAGTCCCGGGGCGGCGGGCGGGCGCTGCGGTGCCGGCACAGCGGCATGGCGGCGGCGGCGGGCCCGGGCCGCGGCGGCAGCGGCGGCAGCTGGGGCCGGAGCCGGGGCGCCGTGCTGCTGCTCTTCTTCTCGCTGTCGCCGCGGCCGCCGGCCGGGGCCGCCTGGCTGCTGGGGCTGCGGCCCGAGGACACGACGCCAGGCCGGGTGTCTCTGGAGGGCGGCGCGGTGCAGGCGGCGGAGGGCAGCCGCTTCCTCCTGCGCCTCTACTTCCAGCCGCCGCCCGAGGGCAACGGCAGCCGCGGGCCGGCGGGAGAGCGGGAGCCGCGCCTGGTCTTCATCGAAGAGGCGGCGGCGGGGAGCACGGCGACGCGGGGCCCGGCGGAGCGGTGCCGGGAGCGCAGCGCCTGGGCCTCGGACGTGGAGGTGGTGGGGCCGCTGCGCTCGGGCGGCGCGGCGGGCTCGGCGCTGGCCGAGGTGCGGGTGCGGGAGCCGCGCAAGGGCGAGGCGGCGGCGGCGCCGGGCGGGCGGCTCTTCTCGCTGTGCGCCTGGGACGGGCGGGCCTGGGCGCACCACGGTGCTGCGGGCGGCTTCTTGCTGCGGGTGCAGCCGGCCGCCCCGCCGCTCGGCACTTGGCTGCTGCCGCTGCCCGAGGCGGGATGGCTGCGGGCGCTGGGCGCCCTGCTGCTGCTGGGGCTGTCGGCGCTGTTCAGCGGGCTGCGCCTCTCGCTGCTCTCGCTGGACCCACTGGAGCTCCGCGTCCTGCGCAACAGCGGCTCGGCCGCCGAGCGGGAGCAGGCGCGGCGGGTGCAGGCGGTGCGCGGCGGCGGTGGCACCTACCTGCTGTGCACGCTGCTGCTGGGGCAGGCGGGGGCCAACGCGGCGCTGGCCGGCTGGCTCTGCGCCTCGCTGCCCGGCGGCGGGCCGGCGGCGGCGGCCGGCGGGCCGCGGGGAGCGCCCTGGCTGCCGGTGCTGCTGTGCACCGCAGCCGTCTTCCTGGGCGGCGAGGTGCTGCCCTACTCGGTGTGCTCGCGGCACGGGCTGGCCATCGCCTCCCGCACGCTCTGCCTCACCCGGCTGCTGATGCTGGCCGCCTTCCCCCTCTGCTATCCGCTTAGCCGGTTGCTGGACTGGGCGCTGCGGCAGGAGCTCAGCGTCTTCTCTACGCGGGAGCGGCTGCTGGAGACGCTGCGAGCCGCTGGCCCCCACGGCGACCTGGTGCGGGAGGAGCTGGCCATGGTGCAGGGCGCGCTGGAGCTACGCACCAAGGTGGTGGAAGATGTGCTGACGCCGCTGGCCGACTGCTTCATGCTCCGGGCCGATGCTGTGCTGGACTTCGCCACCGTCTCTGAGATCCTCCGATCTGGCTACACCCGCATCCCAGTCTATGAGGGTGACCGGCGCGACAACATCGTCGACCTGCTCTTTGTCAAAGACCTGGCTTTTGTCGACCCTGATGACTGCACTCCCCTGCAGACTGTCACCCGCTTCTACCGCCGCCCGCTCCACTGCGTCTTCAATGACACACGCCTCGACACGCTGCTTGAGGAGTTCAAGAAGGGTGAGGGCGCCGGGCCACCCTCCCCACCCCCTCGGGCTTCCCCTGCACCCCTCTGCACCCCCAATGGTTTCCAGGTCAGCAGCCTCCACGGGCAGCCCCGCATGGCCTCCTGGCAGGATGTGGCAGGTACCAGGGATACTGGGGGGAATTGGTCCCTGCATGTGCTGGTGTGTTGATGGCCCTGGTGTCACCTGGTGGAACATCCCCGGGTGGATTGAGGGCCAGCAGTCCTTGATGTACCTGTGATGTTATGAAGACTGTAAGAGCCTTTGGCCTCGGAGGTTGCTGGCTCAGCAGGTGAGTGTGTCCCTCAGGGGCTGATGTGTCTGCAGTGGCCTGGCAGCATGGGCATGGTACCTGCCTTGCACCATTGCCCTGACAGCATTCGCTGCTCTGTTTTGTGTGAAGGAGTTTATGACAGGAAATCACTTCTCATTACTTAGCTTTCACGTTTTCAGCTTAGCAGTGAGAAGGAGGTCTATAAAGTGTTTCTATGCAAGTGGTTTAAAGGAAGAAGAAAAGATTAAGCCGTTAAAAAGAGCTGTACTTTTTTTGCAGCTGTGACAGCATTCATAATGCAGCAGCTGCCAGCAGCCCGAGAGATGCTGAGAGCTGTATTTCATTAACCATACCTTGAGAATACGCACAGCATGTGTTTTTCCCTCCCACTGGGAATTATGTTTTGCCGCGTGTTCCTCACTACGTCATACTGTGGTGAGTGAGTCTAAGCAGTGGCTGCAGCAGTGACAGGCTGCATTATGTAATGCCTGAGGGCAGCGCTTGCCTCCTGGGCTGCCTGGTGCTGCTCTGCCGCAGGCAGAGCTGATCATGTGAGAAAGGCCAACCTGGTCTACTCCACATTACAGAGAAAGCCTCTCTGTGCATCATCTCCTGCTCGTTTTTAGAGGTGGGAGGAGGAGAGGATGGGACATTTCTCAGTGTGCCAGGAATGTGCTCATCAGATACACGCAGGTCAGCATCTTCTTCCAGAGATGTTCAGCTGTGTTCCCACTACCACTCAGGATCGCAGGTGGAGAAGTTCTGTGTACCACCACCCGCCCTCTCTGCCCTCAGCAGGACTGGAGACTCTCAATGGAGAAAATAAGAAAATTCATGGTTTTTATACAAGACTGTTAGCAAAAGCATTGAGATTGTTCTCTGGGTTCAACCTTGGTGAGCTGCAGTAGTCCATGCCCACCCACTTCCCCCCATGCCAGTTGTCTCTTGTCTTCCTAATTCCTTATGTGCTTTGCAGTTCCTTCCTAACTGTATTTTCCTGCAATAGCACTGAAGTTCACCTGAGGTCTCTTCTGCCTCTCTTGTCTAGAAATGTCAGATGATTTTGGAACACCCTCCCTTGGTCAGGCTCCCCTGCAATTTATCTGATTTACTTTGACACACTTCCCCTTCCAAATTTCTTCTACAACCTAGTATCCTTTGGATCAATAGACCTATAAAAATGGACTTGTGGTTGCTTAGTGCCCTGCCCTTTGCTTGCTGTCCCCTCTGCCCTCCTTAGAGCTGTTTGGTGTGTGCTGCTTCCTGAGCTCATGGGAATGGTAACAAACCTCGCTACCTGCCCTGCACTTTCATATGCTAGTCTTCATTTCAGATGAAGATTATCCATCCTTCTTTAAGTTTGTTCTATTAAACTCTTGGCATATCACTTCAGGTTCTTCCTCCTTTATATCTGTCTTCCATTGTGGCCTTCTGGGGTGTTTTGCTACTGCCCCTATTTAGAGCTCTCCCTAAACCCTTTTCCTGTTGCCTCCTCACCTCTCCTTGTGTTTTCTAAGCTACATGGCTGAAAAGCCTTACCTTTGGTCTTTGTATGTAACTCTGCTTGGTGTTTAGCAATTCCAGCTCTTACTCCAAATCGTCTTCCCAAGAATCAATGTTTTCTTCTGATTCATCTTTTCTCTATTTGTAGGCATTTGGTCACCCCCAGCACCCTGAATTTGCAAATAGTTACCCCCTAGCCCAGCCCTGAACCCTCCTAAACTCTATTTTTCCAGTTCTAAATACAGGTTCTTGTACTGGATCCCACACTGTGACAGATGTTAGCTCCCAGCTCCCATCCACTGCTGCATCAGCCCTGTTCACTTGACCATTTAATTTCTAAAATAAAGATTTCTCGTTTGTATTTAAGAATCTTTATCACTGTCTCATTTTCTGTGTCCATTTGAATTATGCTGAAATATCCTGTTTGATCCAATCAAGGTTGCTTTCCATGGCCAGGTCTTCTGAGACACCTTCACTAATTAAAGTAGGCTGATTGCTTGTTGGCTCAGCGAGTGTTTAATGAAGGCATTCATCACTTCACACTTCCAAGGTGCCTGCAGGACAGCAAATGCTCCCACTGATAAAGTCCAGCCTCTTTCTAGGAAATTAAAGTCTCTGGTAAGGATGGGCTTTAATAATCACCTCCAGCTCCTTATGTCCCTCACAAGCCAACATTTCTTTCCTTTTCTCATAATTTACTCAAACAATTTTTGTGTCTTTTATTTATTTCTATTATTATAATGTTTATTCAAAATAACTATAACATTTTATATTCTTCTTTCTTGGATAGCAATGTGTACTTCTGATCTATTTCACTAATGATTAATGTTCTGCCACATCCACTATACCCATAATGTCATTTTTTTGGCATAATATGTAAGTAACACAATTTCACTGCCAGAGCTCCTTGCCACAGTACACAAACATTTGTTCTTTTTTACTGAAAATGTCAAGGGATTATTAAATACAGAACTTTGGGACTTTTGCTCACACCTCAGACAGCACTTTCATTTTCTGTCTCCTACTCACTGATATCTCACTATTATCCCTGTTTACCTGAGGCATTTCTTTTCTCTTGCTGTTCTGTCCCAGCTATGAAGACAATCAGCCTTTTTTCCTCTTTGGTCTTCTATAGCAGGGTTTGGGGGAAGCTTTCTTCCTTTGTTTCTAGGTATGCTCACACTAACCTCATTTGAGTGTAGTTCCATTAAGATGCATTTAATCCACAGATATGTCACAAACTGCCTCTCCCCCAGCAGGACCTTGTGTGGAAGGGATTACCTTCCACAGACCTGTAGCATCAGCTTTCCATTTAATTTAACATTTAAACTGTATGAAATAGTGGGATACAGTATCAGTAGCACCAAGGGAGCCACTGGCCAGTGTGGTTATGGCACCCAAGAGCAGCTATGAGCTCCTGGTTAACAAAACCTGGCCCCCACACCATCACAGCAGAGCTGGCCAAACTCCTCACCTCTGCCTTTTCACAACCCTGCTGTTGTGGCCATTGTTTGATTTCTCTTTCAGTAGTGATTCCTGCAGAGGTGGTTAAATGGAGCGTCCTGATGGGAACTGGGAAAAACCCGGAGAAGACTCCAAACAGCACCAGAGGGGTGATCTGGCCTGCAAGAGAATAGTGTAGACTTCAACCCACAGACCAAATGAGCAGGGCAGCTGCAAAAACCATACTGAAAAACAACATTATAGCAGTGTGAGACAGGTTCAGCTGAAGAAAGGAAATACTTGTGCTACAATATGGTTTTGACTTCATCTTCTCAGCAGAAAGAACTCAGGAATAATGAGGGCTGGACCCCCATTTTGCCATCTTTTGTAGAAGGCATACATTGTTGTGCAGCATTAACTGAGAAGTGCTAAGGACCCTGCACAAAATGTGTCCCCCCTTCAATAGAAATAAGAAAATACATACCAGTACAGTAATTTTACCACCTGCAGCCTGGTGAAGGAAGATGAAAATACTGAAGGAACGAAAAAATTGGGAGACAATCTCTTGGCGATTTGTATTGGTAAACCTTGGAGTACCCGGCTTTATTCTGGGCTCCCAGGACGCAATACCTAATACACCAAAAAAAATAATTGCAGCATATTTAGCAAGCTAAAGCTATGTTGGGAGGCAGATGAGCTTTCTGTAGGATAAACTTTTCCTAGGGACTGTGGAGCTATGAGGAAGGGTTTATGCATTTATTCAGTGTGAAATGTTGTGGGTGAAACAATCTGTTTCTCCTCCTTTCCTGAAGATAATGCATGTTGCAGCTCCAGTCCAGTGATAACACTCCTCATGTGAACCTGTTCTGTGAGGGCCACCCCCTTGTTTTGTAGTGCCTCTGGGAAGTCATAGTCTTGTCCCTTCCTCAGGCTGTTTATGGGTTTTGTTGACTGATTTCCTGGAGGGGTCTATGTACAGCACTGGCACCTTTTAGCAAGTAACTTTCCTCTGTCAGAGGAACAGTAGAAATTTGCTCTTAATGTTCATTTTCCTGCAGCAGGGCAGAGGCTGAGCTGCAACTCAAATTAGCCTTCTGTGGCTTGGCATCTTTTAAGAGCTACCAAAAATAAATCCTCCAAAGCCCAAACTTTCAGGTGTAGCAGGGAAAACAGCCTGGCCTGTGGAAGACAGCTCTGCCCTAGGGTGTCTTTACATTTCAAAACGCTCCACGGTCTCTATTAGACTTCTGCAAATTGAATGTGGCTAGAGAAGGTGCTTACATTTGCCAGGAGTTGGGGTCGATACAATTTCAGATGCTTTTTGTACCATCTTTCTGATCCCACAGGCATTGTTAGGACACAGTGTTGCTTCAGATTTAACTCAGCCTTCAAGAGGTTTCTGCAAGTGTTATAATCACTCTGCTGGGCATCTTGATGACCTGAAGCCATGACCTCCCAAGGCAGTTGTATGGGTTAAGGAGCCAGTTTTACCCAGGAACTATCACCTACGTGTCCCCTGGAATGTGATTGCCAGGCTGAGAGCAAGGGAATTGCTGATAGACAAAAACTGGCCTCAGTATCTCATGCTATAATTCTGCCTGAAACATTACTGGGCTTTTCCTACTAAACTGTGCCAAATCTTACTTTGTAAACCCTGGACTGCTCTACCCCACCCCAATAATCCCAGGATCAGGCCTGCTCTGGGCAGGTATTCAGCAAGCAAGAAGGGAGCCAAGTCCTTGGGGGAGAGGGCACCCTGCCACCCACTTCCCTCTTCAGAGCTGTCAAAGGCACTTCATCCAGGAGGTCAGGATCCTGCTGCACAACACATGGAAGATGAGGTTCCATGTCCCCCCTAATCTTCTTCTCCTCATCTGCAATGGTAATAGATCAGCTATTCCAAATATTCCATCATTTTTACAGTTTTCCTTAGGATTAAGAAAAGCACAAAAAGAGAATATGAGAAAGGCTACAGACAGATGTAAGCAGGTGAAGTTTTTGTCTCCGAGAAAAGTTTGGTTTAGATTAGGATTTACAGTTTTTCCTTTACATAGTTCTTATGCATGTAGAGCTGGGTGACCCTGCAGCCCTCTTGGTTATTTCCCCCCTGCTTAGATGTGCATTTCCTCTAGACACAATGTGTGCTTTCACCCATGGTGCAGAGCTGTGGTAACACAGGATGACACTCGTACACATTTCCAGTTCAAGGTTTTCAAATCAGGGCCCTCACTTTCTTCACATGCAGGTCAGCAAGAAGGCACAGAAATGCTGGCAGCCCCTGTGAAGAGCTCTGAAGAAAAGCACACAGAAAATAGATTTCAGTTACATCATGTTGTTTCACAAATAACCTTTTTATAAATTGCCTCTTTTTTTTCTTCCATTTTGTAGCTGTAAATCATTCAGGCACAGGTTTGTACCTTTGATCTCCTAATAACAACTTCAGATCTTACGATAAAATTTATTAAAATTAATTTCATGCTTGAGATGTTAATTCTGGGGAACAAGAGACAAGGCTAAAACATCTTTAACATTCCTCTGGCAGGGTACCTATATAAAAAAATTATAAAGAAGTAGTCTGGGCTATATTTAAACCAAATAGCACTTTCTTTCCCAGAAGTCAAGGCGTTTCCATGTATTCAGACCTCTTTCCCTCATTGGGGAAGGTGTTTTGAGGTGGATCCATGAGCCCAAGGTCATTTAGGTGCCTATGAAAAACAAGGCTCCTAAAAATGGGCATAAAAGCTTTGGATATCTGTTCAGATGTTTGCTCCATCTGGAAGCTCTCAGCTGTTTATATTAGCTCTGTAATTTAGCATTTTGAGGCATTAACTTTCCACTGAAGCTGTTGTTTGAAAAGAGCAGATTTCATGTAGCTCATAAAGAATTTAGTGCCGTTGTATCCCATGCTGAGCAGACACTTAATCACCTATAGACTTCCTGTGCGAGAGCAGTCCTGTGGAGCCCGGCAGAGCTGCTCGCACAAGGAAAGTTAATTGCCCATTTGTTCTAGCATTTGCCAAACCAAGGCTTTGATTCTCAAGCGTTTCACTGTGCTTTCCTGCATCAGCCATAGCCCTGTAAAGTTCACATGTGACAGCTTGCTAGTGGGGAAGCAGCTCACCCTAATAATTCATCTCATTTGAGCTATCAACCAGTGGTTACAATAGCACGGTTTTTGGAATCAGTTTTACAGTTCTTAAAGCTGTTTTAGATCAAGTTTAGGGGTTTGTTTAAATGATTTACCTCCCTCCGTTGTGCTCCCACTGAGGCTGACCTGGTGGATAATGGCTGCAGAGGCAAACGTGACCCCTCTGGCATCCCCAGGTCTGTCCCTATGCCAACCTCCCTCAGACATTGCTTCCATCTCATTGCCCAGATTCTTGTACATGCTGTAAAGGCCACGGCTTTTCCTCCTGTGCAAGTGTAGCAGCTCCCAGGGCTGGGTGGAAGGATATAGCTAAGCTTGGCAGCATTGCCCAGGAGGAAACAGGCCATGACCATACAGCCAAAGCACCTGCAAACCCCCGACCAGAATTTATGGGGTCTGTTAAAAAGCTGATGGGAGGAGATACAGGACCCAGTCAGGTCAGAGGGGTGGGGCACAACTTTGCAAATGAGCTCGTGTCCCTCAGGTGGGAAATCAGAGCATGTCAGCCCTCTTCCAGAGGGGAACAGCTGCGAGCAGCACTCACTTAAAGGACCGGGGCTGGCTGGCATTCAGGGCTTTTGTGACATGGATATAAGCTGGCCAGGCATGGGCTGGGATCAGCCCTGTTGGTATGGGCAGCAGCAACCCCACTGAACTGCAACAATTTTCCATTGTTGGGTACCTGCTCCATTTCTAACGTCGGTATTAGCTTGGAAACATGAACCTGGGGGTTTGGAGTGTGAATACAAGTGTTTATTTTCTGTGAAAATAAAGAACTCTGGAGTGCTCTAACAGCCCTACTGGCTCTGCCCCCAGCACAGTGAAACCATGGGTCTCCTTCCAGGCTAATGGTGCTGGGTTATTTCTGAATAATCTCATTTGCAGCTATGTGAACATGGAGCTTGAATCACATTTCGAGTGTAAATTGCACTGTCGATGTAGGTGTTTGGCCAAAAAAAGAATTGCCTCCATCACTCTCTGACTGCCTTTAAGTAGCACCTAAGCTTTCTGTAAGGACTTGGTGGTTTTGGGTTGCATGTAAATGTCATTAACAACAAGCTCTCAGCCAAAAGAAATAACTTTTTCCCTCTCCTTGCTCACCCGAGGACTTGTCGGAGACCAGATGGCCCCAGTGTTTGGGAGCAGAGTTTGGCAAAGGAGACATTTTCAAAAGCTGGACTTTGCTAAGATGAAACGTAGCTGTTGCTGCTGTCTTGCAGCCAACTCCTCTGCTTTTTTCTTTTTAAATGCTGTGTTGTTTTATTACCCACTGAACAGAAAATATGTACAAACCTGTGTATGAAAGGAGTGAAATAGCCCAGTCCAAAGTACATGCTGAATCTTCAGTACCCCAGAGCTATTGATTCGGTTTTTTAAAGTGCATCTCAGTGCTACTTGCTGCAATGTTATGTTCTCATTTCTAAATCTGTAGGCGTGGGAGGCAGTGAGCTGCTCTCTGAAATCTTGCAATAAAAGCTTGGTATGAGGAGGAGGGAATTTATACTGTGGAAAATGCCCAAGATTTGCTGTGAGAAATATATAGTTCTGATCTTCAGCTGAGAAATGTTGTCTGCTCGTCTCAGATCCAGGACAGGGTTATTTGAAGGTCATATGATCCCCAGCAAGACGTGTTTGTGGGACTGCCAGGCTGCTCTGGGTGTGCTTGTCCCTGCACCTCTGCACGGACAAGCCAGGAGGCACTTTGGGTAAGGAAGGAGCTGTGCACCAGGCAGGAGCACACCCTGTCACATCCTTATGCATGAACACTGTCCATATCCCTTGTCAGGAGCAGCAGAAGAGGTTGTTGGGATGGGTTTATGGGAGAAGTGGATGCAGAAGCATCTGCATAGCAGAGGGGACCTGCCCTTGTTTTGGGTGCTAAAGGAGCTCGGCTCCAAGGCCCTGGGGAAAATAATGTGTTAGCAGCTTTCCAGAGGTCACTGCAGCACATTTGGGTTTGTGCAGGCATTGCAACAGGAGACCCCAGGGATGCAGAGCAAACAGAGGGAGCAGAAGTTTTTGGCTGTGGTGCCACTGAGGGTGGTTTCATGTAAAACTAGAGGTTCAGAATCTGTGTGCACTGCTGAGCGATGTGGGAGCCACACAGGCAGTAAGAAACCCAGTGCTGTTCATTGACAGGTCCAAGAACATGTTGGAGCTGGAAACCCAGAAGTTGTTTGTGGCTTGGATGCTGGGTTCTGGTCAAGATGCTGAGCAGGACCATAAATCAGAACAGCCAGTAAAGGAAAGGAGATGTTGAAAAAGTCAAAAGAGCTTACAGAGCTGGACATGAAAAAACAAATAGAAATGTTTCAAGTATGCCAAAACCAAGAAACTGGAGAATGTGTCAGCAGAGCTGCCAGCTTACAAGGGACAAGTGAGGAAGCTGAAACTGTGATCCAGGAACACTGGAACTTCCCAGTAGGAGTCACCATCATTGTAGCTGATGGTCCTGATCCCACTCTGCTTGTTTAAGGTAACATAGAGAAGATCCTGTTAATGGCAGGGCTTGGAGAAGAATTTCAGGTGCAAGCTGATGGCTTGAAAAGTATTCAGTGTCTGTATCCAGATGGTTCACCCAAGAGTTGTGCAGGAGCTGGGCTGAAAGCTGCAAACAAACATGCGTGTTTCTGCATAAAAACCAGCTGCTGTTTCAAGGAGATGGAGGCTTTGCCCATATTTTAAGAAAAACTGTAGTATTGATCTACACAGTGATGGATAGAAAGATGAGGGGGAGCTGTTCCTGGCAATTTAATAGGAAAGATAATTAGCAACAGAATAAGAAAACACCAGGAGGGTATGGGAAATCAGTAGAGCCAAGGACACTTTCACATTTCTGTGTTGGAGAACATTGTCTCATTGCTCTGTTAAGAGTTATTTCATGCCAATGAAGCTGAGGGTAAGGAAGAGCTGGTAAAATGTACCTTTCATTGCTGCACAGGAGGCTTTCAAAGAGCTGAACAGAGTGACTCACAGCCTGGGTAAAGAGAGAGAAGGTGGCCCCAAAAAAGAGCCTACATTTACAGATCAGTCTGGACAGCAGCTGCCATGTTATGCTGGGTTGCATGTCCAGCCCTTCTCCTTGGGCTAGCGCAGGTGGGGTGGGTTTGGGTGACAGTGTCTGCTTTGATCTGTGCCTCACACCAAACCCTGCCCACCTCCCTGCCACCACACCAGGGACCCCTCTCAGGATCACTGGGACAGGTGTCTCACTGCCACTCTGCTTTTCCCTGCAGGAAAGTCCCACCTGGCCATCGTGCAGCGGGTGAACAATGAAGGGGAAGGAGACCCGTTCTACGAGGTGATGGGCATTGTCACCCTGGAAGATGTCATTGAGGAGATCATCAAGTCCGAGATCCTGGATGAGACAGATCTGTACAGTTAGTGTCCCAGAGCAGCTACTGCAGTTGCAGGAGCCAGGGTGGGAGCCTGCACAGACAGACAGACAGATGTGGGTAGGAAACAGGCCAAAGCAAATTGTGGTCCTTCCCCAGAGTAATTTGCTGTCATGATGGGAAAGATAAGAATGATGGGGAGATGCTGGTCGAGTGTCAGGGAGTCTTGAATGTTCAAGATAGAGAAGTACCACCATCAGCAGTGGGTGGCTGGGCAGGGCCTGACCTAGGAACATCTATGTTGGGCATGAAATGGGTGGTTCCCAAGCTCGTTTGCAACTCTGGGTGATGCATCCAGGCAGGACAACCCAGGGCTTGTTCCTGAGGAATAAGTGTGTTTCACAATCCTGCTCCCTGCCCCAGGAGCTGCTCCCAAGGCTGGATGCACAGCAGGTTTTATGTGCCCCACTGCTCCATCTGCTGCTCCACAGCAGCCTGCCACAGGCTGCAGCAAGACATGCCTGTCCATACGTGTGCATGTGACACGGGGCCCTGCAGCTGCAGTAGCTTTGTGGCTGCTGCAGGCGAGTGACTGCTCTGCTCTGCTCTGCCTGCAGCTGACAATCGGAAGAAGGAGCGGGTTCCACACCGGGGACGCAAGCCCCAGGATTTCTCCATCTTCAGGCTCTCAGAGAGTGAGATGAAGGTGAAGATCTCCCCGCAGCTCCTCCTGGCTACCCATCGGTTCATGGCAACAGGTACACTTGCCCTTGTGCAAGCCCTGCAGCACCAGCCCCACAGGGCATCCCTAAGCCATTCCTGGGTTGGGCTCCCCCTCACTGAGCAATTTCCACGTGCCTGGACCTACAGCCTGGACATTCCAGTGCTCTACCAGTAGCAGGTCTGCATTTGGCTCCCCTCTTGCCACTGGGTGCTTAGGCTGCAGGAGCAGCTCCGAGGATGAGGGGTTCCCATCAGTCCCGGACCTGCTGAGCATAGCATGTGTGTGTTGCCTCCCTTCTAGAAGTGGAGCCTTTCAAGTCCCCTTACCTCTCTGAGAAGATCCTGCTGCGGCTCTTGAAACACCCCAATGTCATCCAGGAGCTCAAGTATGACCGAAAGAACAAGAAGGCAGCAGAGCATTACCTCTACCAGCGCAACCGTCCTGTCGACTACTTTGTCCTCATCCTGCAGGTGCCTGGGGCAGCAGCAAGCAAAAGGTGGCAGGGCATGGCCCTGTCTTCTCCTTGCCACCTTGTTCTAGGCTGCTTCTGTCAGCAAAGATGCCCGTCCTCTTGTATGGGATGGCAGGGGTCCCTGCAGCCCTGGGTGGGTCAGGATCATGAGGTGCCTGTCTGACAGGGTTTTCCTCCTCCTTCCAGGGGAAGGTGCAGGTGGAGGTTGGCAAGGAAGGACTGCGGTTTGAGAATGGGGCGTTCACCTACTATGGTGTCCCTGCCATCATGGCTGTTGTCTCCTCAGGTGAGGCCTCTGTGGGCTCCCTCTGGCCCTGTCTTTGCTTCAGCAGCATCCACGGAGGCTAAACCAGCTGGCACCAGGAGAAGGGGCTGGCCATGGGGTGGGGCGGCCCTGCTTTGGGGCATGGGGCAGGAGCCCTTCCTCTGCTATTCCCACACCTCCAACTGTTGTTTCAGAAAACGATGTGCGAAAAATGGGAAGCCTGGCAGGATCCTCCTTCCTACGTAAGTATTTTGGGACAGGCTGAGGCCCTAAAACCTCTCTGCATCACTGGCTGACTGGAGGAGCAATGGCTTTTCTCCTCGTGCAACTCATAGTTCAGACTATGCCAAGGTAGATAGAGAAACAACATCTGAGGGGCTGATGTAGCAAAGTCCCCACAGAATGACTTGGAGGTCCCTTTGAGGTCCCTTTGATGTCCTTTTGAAGTTTCTACCATGTTCTGGGTCTCTGCTGGTGGGTCCCAGCACGGCTGCTGCTGCCAGAGGCAGTGCCCACAGGTGGATGTTATTCTAGGTCTCAGCATAACACCTCTAGACCCATTTGCCTTCCTGAGGCTCAGGGCACAACCTGTACACGGGCCCTGCATTGGGCTGCTTGGGAATTGCAGAGATGGGTTGATTTACCTATGAGCTATTTGCACGTAGTGGGGGGAAATTAGTCAAGGGCAAATAAATTCCCTGCCTGCAGAGCTGATGGCTTAAGAAGCAAATCCTCTGCTTGCAGGAGTTAAGAGGGAGCTCTGATTTCCTACAAGTGTTTAGTCCTATGTGGCTCAGGAGTAGGTCAAGGTGCTGCCCAAACCCAGTCCTCATCCAAACCCCAGATGCTGCAGTCAGATCTGCAGTGCTGATGGTAAGCCGAGATGCTCTACCTGCCTAATCAAAACTGGGACTCACTAATTTCTCTCTTTAGGGAGATGTAAAGAGGAATGTCATTAAGAGAACAGGGGGAGTCTTTTGGGGCACGTGGCTCACTCCAGTGGGTCCCAGTCTTTCTGCAGCTCTAGGGTTCACCTATTTCCTGCTGCTTGCTCTGCCTCTGTGCAAAAGGCTGGCTCTGAACTGATGGATTAACCCCTCAGTGAGCATTCCTTCTTCGCTGTGTGTCCTCAGTGCAGTTGGTTTGGACAGAGGAAATCAGTGAAATGGCCAGTTTGTGCCAGGGTGTTGCTGGATGGCCCGATGTCCTGTATCCCAGGTGACAATCCTCACGAGCCCACTAGGACCCAGGCAGTGAGTGCTGCCCACGGGCCTTGGGCCAGGCAGGGCAGAAGTGGGAGCTGTGCCAGAACATCCATGCATGTCTGCAGTGCCGCCTGCCGGGACACTGCTGCTCAGGGCTCCTTTGCTCCAGTGCTCACGCCTGACAGTGCCAGGAGGTGTTTTCTGCCATGCAGCCATTCCTGCCTGCAGTGGGACAGACCTGTGTCCCACCCCTGGCCAGCAAGGAAGCAGGCTAAGAGGCAGAGAATGACAAGCATCTCCACTGTGGTGGAGACTGGCGTCCTCGTTCCTCCTTGAAGGAAAACCCAGAAGAAAGGAGTGTGAGTGAAGTATTACGGCTGAGAATTCAGACATCAACCTAGACCATTTAAGAATTTGTTATTAATTAACTGTATTGTAACTGTTTTATCTCCAGCTGATCTTTGGCATTTGTGCTGTGTGGTGAAAAATGCTGTGGGAGGGTCAGGCAGTGGGAGTCAATACTAGTGGTTATCAACTCATCCTTTGCTCCCATCAGGACAAGGTCATTCCGGGCAGTGCTTCCTGCTGGTATCTTTTTTATTTGCAGAAGGTTTTGATTGAGGGGAGGACACGGAACAGGAATTCCTGGGGGTTTTACGTTTGAAGCAATTTTAAAATATTAATCACATAGGCAGCAGATAGTTCCTCGAGTGTTGCAGCTGTGCTTCGGGCACGGTGGCTGGAGATAGGGCAGGACACCTCAGGCAGGAGGGCTGGCAGCTGAGGGAATCATGGCAATGGCTGGAGAAAGGGGCTGGCAGCCAGCAGGCTCACATCTTCCACTGCTTTCAAGGCGGGCAGTGGTAGTGGTGAAAGCAGAGACTGGCAAGTGTTAAGGAGTGCATCACTCACCCTGTGTGTTGGTCTCTCTGTGCTCCCCCATCCCCTGTGACATGCGTTCCCTCAGGAACGCTGTGGAGGGCAGCAAGCACTGGGAGGGGGAATGGCCTGCCCTAGAAATTGTCACTGCTGCTGTAACCCATGGTAATAAAACATGGAAAGTGAGTGTCTATGATTTACCTTCTCTATGGCAATGGGTCAGGCAGCCCCAGATGCAGGATCCTTCTTGCAGTTCCTGCAAGGATCAGCCCTCAGTGGGTGCCTCTTCTTGGCATCACCTGAAGGCTGTTGACACCCAGGACCTTGCAAGGAGCTGCAGGCAGCCTGACATGAATTCCTTTGCTTTGCATCACCCTGAAGAGCTTCTGTGGGGCTGGGGCAGAGACTTTTGCAGAGCATATTCCTTCTCTGCCATGTGCTTGCACACACAGAAGCATCTCAGATACCAAGTGCTGTGATTTAGCTTCCACCCTTTTCCCAGGTGGCATAAGCTGACCACAATGCCCCCTATCCTGGCAATGGCTGGTAAAGGGCTAGAGCCAAGTGCTGGCACTTAACCTATGGGGGAAAGACGCTTTCTATCCATGCCAGGGCTCTAGGAAGTTGTGTGGCTCTGCAGACAGGCCTGGCAGGAGCCGCCCCCCCCCTGCCAGCTTCACCTCCCCTTACCTCATCACAGAGCAACGTGCTGATCTACAACTTTCAAGTCTGTGTTCCTGCTGGTGGCCCTGTCCCCAGGACTGACAAGCACCTCTCCAGAGCAGAAGCAGGAGGACCTAAAAGGGATGGGAGGGGATGCTGGAGACAGCAATGGGAGCTCAGCCCAGGACTGCTGGCACATGATTTTTTTTCTCATTCTTCTTCTTGGTCTGTATCCCACCCTCACCTCCATCCCTCACCTTTCCCCTGGGTCCCCTCCCTCCTCCTCCCTCCCTCTCTCTGCAGTGCCTGTCTCAGTGTCCCGTACTTTCGCCTTCAGCAGAGGGGATTCCCTGGCTGGCTCTCCAGGTAACAAGGCATGGCTTTGGCCAGGGACCATGGGACAGCCTCTTTCCAGCACCCTGTCCACAGTGCCCTAAGCCCCCTCCACCCTGCATGCTGGGCAGTACCCGCAGCACTCCTGGGCAGCCCCTCACTGGTCGGAGCATTGGTGGCAGACTGGGGACAGCAGTCCTGCCACAGCCTCCCCAGCACAATGCAAATCTCTGGAAGAATGGGAGGGACAAGGGGGAGCCATGGACAGCTTGGGCTTTCTTTGGTGTGCACTTCCTGTAATTTCCTGCACTTAGCACTTAGGGTTTTGGCTTGCTGCTTTTGGTGACAGTAACCTGCAGCCCTGCATGCCTGCTGCCCTGCCCCCCTTGCTTTCTGCTGATCCGGGTAATAAAAAGGCAAAGCAAAGTCAGCACAACGTCACCTATGCAAGGAACAAGCTGCCCTTGTTCCCTAATAAATCACTGACTAGACAAAATCCATCATCCTGTTTGCCAGAGGCCACGCCGTGTGTCAGAGGCCATCTGTCAACGTGAGTGACAGGCCAGCTTGCCATGGCAGCCTCTCCCTCTGATCTGTCAGAGTTGGGGTGAACAGGAGCATGCCCTTGAGACAGGTTAAGCAAATACTCTCAGGCTGCCAGCTGCAACCAGGACAAGTTGTGCCAAACGCGGTGCAGAGGGCCAGCGTTAACAGGAGAGCTGTCAGTGACAGGCAGCTGCCCTAACCTCTGCTGCTGGCACCGGGTCAGTGCTGCCCAGTCCCTGGGGTTTGTGTGGGGCTGACCTGGCATGGGCTCCACGCTGGTGTGCACTGAGGAGCACAGGGCCCCTGCCAGCCCTGTGTCCTGAGGAAGAGCTGCTGGAGGTGATTGATCCACCTTAGCCCTACACCAGCACTGGGAACCCGAGCAACACCACGAGCGAGAGTGAGTGTTTGCCTGTCTGCTGTCCCCTCCTGCAGTGAACAGGTCACCGTCACGCTGCAGTGGCCTCAACCGTTCTGAGTCCCCCAACCGGGAGGACTATGGAGGCAGCAGCACGCAGCTCCACAGCAGCAGCAACAACATCTACACGCCCGACTACTCCGTGCACATCCTCTGCGACGTGCAGTTCGTCAAGGTATGGGCAGGGCTGGCAGGGACTGTCCCACCCTGGCCACCCCTGTCCAGGTGCCCTCTTGCCCCACTGTGCCCCAGGAGCCTGGTGGGTGCCCCATGGGTGCTGAGGAGTCCTGCACTTACTCCTGCTGTCTGGAGGTTTGGAGCCACCAAGTCTCCGAGAGGTCCTGGTGGGGCTCGGTGCCCACTGAGCTGGGTGCACGTCTGTGTGCCCAGGTGACCCGGCAGCAGTACCACAACGCGCTGGTGGCCAGCCGGATGGACAGCTCACCCCAGTCCCCCGACATGGAGGCCTTCGACAGGGATTCAACCAAGGCCTCGACTGCGCGGGGAACCCCACAGACACCCAAGGAGGACCCTGCCACCCTCCTGAATGAGAGGAACAGCATCATGTGTGAGTCACCCAACAGCATTCCTTCCCTGCCACAGGCTACGTTGCATGTCCCCTAGGGGGGTCTGTGCTGGGACCCTCTGGCATGATGCACACGCCACCTCTGGGATGCAGTTGCACATGGAGTGGGGCTCGTATACAGTGCAGGCATTCGCATACACGCATCTGTGGATCCACAGAGCTGCCAGTGTGCAGGCGTGTAATTCCTCATTGTCTTGCACTCATTGTCCTCCGGGGTCCCTGGCAGCTGGACCTGCTGCCATGGCTGGCATCCTGCCACGTGCTGCCCCAAGGCACAGCAGCTCCCTGCCCTGTGTCCCTGCAGGCAGCCGCTCTGAGGGGCTGCGCAGTCCCAGCGAGTCAGTGTTCCTGCGCATGGAGGGCATCCCCTTCATCCAGGAGGAGCTGGCTGACAACGAGGAGAACAGCAAGCGGCAGAGTGAGTCTGGCCGGGGGGCACACACACCTGACCCCGGGGGTGGCGAGGCCTCGGTGCCCGGAGGCGCTGCAGCCATGCTGGGCTTTTGCAGACAGTGAGTGCTGCGGGACCGTCCTGGAAGTGGAGTCCCCGGGCAGAGAGGCCGGGACCAGCTCATCACCGAGCAGCTCTGAGGAGGCGCTGGGCAAGAGGCTGCTGAGATCCCTCAGTGAGTGACTGACCCAGGGATGGCACACCCAGGGGAGAGCTCTGCCTTGGCACCCCACTGCCTCTGTCACTGTTCCCCAGCCCTGTCCTGGGGACACCCACCCTGCATGGGGCTGGTGTAGGACAGGGGACAGCCTAGTTCCCTGTCAGTACCTCAGCAGCAGGCAAAACCACCTAGGGCTAGCTCAGGCAGAGCCAGCCACTAGGTCCTGGCCCAGCCTTATGCACCCCTGCTCTGAGCACCCTTGGCTCCCAGCACCCCAGCCCTAAGCACCCTTGCTGCTGCAGGTGGGCGCAAGCAGCGGACATCATCAGAAGGTGAGAAGTCACCAGAGGAAAGCTCCAATCTCGCCCCATTAATCACCTGAGCAGCAGCGTGGCCAGAGCACAGTGCTGGAGGCCCATGCAGACTGGAGGTAGGAACCTGCCTCTTGGTGCAACATTCCTTCCCCAGCAAGTGGGAGGTCACTCATTTTAAAGAGTGTAAAATCAAGTTTCAGGCGACAAAGCCAAATGGGGTGGTTTGGAGCCCATGCAGGTGTGCTGGTGGGGGCTGGAGCATGTTAAAGAAATATGGAGTAGGATCTGCTCTCAACAGCAGACTGGATGTCAGAAACTGAAGTGAGACCTTGGCTCATGTTTTCACTAGAAACCTGTGTCTGCATCAATGTACCCCTGAGCCTGGCTAGCAAAGGTGCTGCAGGCTTGAGCAGCAGCAGGTCGGGGAGGGCAAGCTCTGGCCACCTCCACCAGGATGTATTTATGTTTTCCAGGTCTGCAGCATGGGGGTCTCCTGCCATGAGGCTCGTGTCCAGCAGCAGGAGGTCTGCACTCGCTCGCTGCCTGTCCACCCGCTTGTGCCGCCCCTCCCTGCAGGACTTGTGCAGAGCCCCATCCCCAGGCGAGAAAGGATGAACCCCCGGCAGGGCTGAACCACCCAGGCAGCCTGCACCAGCTAGCTGGAGTGCCAGGGCCCTTGCCCAGCCGCTCCCTGGTAGCATCTGGTCTCAAGGAAGAGGTGGAAAAAGGAAAGGTGAAAAAGTGTCTGTCACGGCATCCCTGCAAGCAGTGCAGGGAGGGGCAGCGCGACCCAGAACTGCCCTTTAACATCATCTACCATCCCCATCCCAGCGAAGCCCGGAGCCCCGCAGTGCTGGTTGCTGCAAGATGTGGTCTCCACCGTGAGGAGAATGTGCAATTTGGGGGTGCCACGCGCAGCTCAGGGCCCCAGCACACATCTGTGTGACATGCCCGCTTGCAGCACCTCGCTCACGCTGACCATCGACACAGCCCAGCACTCCCGAAGCCCTGCCTGGCACAGGGCAAGGAGCCCCGCTCACCCCCGAGTGCAGCCCCCTCCCTGGGGAGGCCTCTCCATGCTGCATTGGACCATCCTCCTCTCCACACATGCCTGCTGCTGTGAGGGAGGCTCGCACCAAGACTTCGGGGTGGGACAGACCAGTCAGTAGTTTTTGTAGAGGCTCAACGCAACGGGAATATCAACATTAAAAGTGATTTTTCCCTGAGCGATGCCCTCTCTGTGTCCATGGGTGTAGGGAAAGATGCAAGCCCTCCACCAGGACAGGCTGCCCTCAAACCTAGAGCCAGAGGTGGCTGGAGGAGCAGGACTCAGCCTCACTGAAGGGAGCAAGAGAACGGGTCAGCAAGTGCTGCCCAATTTCTCGCCATGAAGCTGGGCTCTCTGTCACTCCTGCTGCCAGGAGAGCACTCGGCAAGCAGAGAGATAAGCCCCAGCAGTGCAGACAAGGACTGGGGAAAAACAGGAGTTAATATCAGGTCATTGCAAACATAATAGTGGGATACACGTGCTGGAGTACAGCCTGACAGATAATGAAAGAAATCTCATAGTCCACCCATGCTGATAAAACTTCAGCTGGAATAACTGCAGCCCTGTCTGGGCACTGCCCTTCTAAGGAAACACAGAGCAATGGAAAAGTGGTCAGAGGAAAGCAAGGGCTGGAAAACAACCCACCCAAAAGCTGAGGAAATAGAGTCACTTAATCTGAACTGGTGAAGGATGTGAAGGGGAGAGAGGAAGTTTTCAAATACATAAAAAGCTGTTGTACAGAGGAAAGGAATAATCTGTTCTCTGTTGCCATGGTAAATGGGATAATTGGTAATGAGCTTACACCACAGAAAAGGAGAAATTTAGGTCACTTGCTAAGAAAAACAAGGCTGGTAAGACTAGCAAAACAGCGATATAGATCACAAGGGGTGCGCCAGCCTTCACACCAGGAGGTCTGTAAGGACAGAAGTGTAAGCAAATATCATAAATAACAAAAGCAGAATTGGTTTCTTAAACCCACCTGAGATAACCGCTAGAAATTACCTTTTAACCACTTCCCCACCATCCCTGTTGTGAATGGACACCAAAAGAAAAACATCCCCACCTACAGAGAGGAGGAAAGGCTGCCTCTGGCCCACTCTCTTATATAAATACTAACCCAAAAAGAACAAGAGACCCCATGCACTCTACAAACACAACAAGGCAATAAGGCATCATTTCGGCCTTTTCTGTCTAATCTGCAGCACAAGCAAACCCATCAAGGTAACAGTGACTACTGCTACCTGACACAAGGAAAGGAGCTGTCCCCTTTCTTCACAATATCCTGTCAAGAGGCTGCTCTGTCAGCTCACAAATAGATCTGCAGTGACTGCAGAGCAGAAACAGATGGTCTCAGCTCTTTTTCAGTGCCAGAAACACAGGCTGTTGCTGGCAGGCCCCGCTGAAGCCAGTGGAAGTAGATGGTGGTTCACCAGGGGCCTGCTGAAAAGGATGAACAGATTTCTGCTTTTTGACACCCGAGGGGCAGCCCAGGAGTCCTGGGACAGGGGGGGATGGCCAAATGGCTGGAAACACTTCACCATCCAGAAAGCAACCACACATAGGCAGACAGGATGAGCTGGGCAGCACAGGGCAGCGGGGCAGAAAGAACACAAGATGAATACAGGAAGAACTGGTTGGCTTCATGTAGTCACAGGGAGCTCTCAACAACACTCTCCTGTTAAGACTCCCCCTTCAGTGGTGGCTGTGATCATCAGAGATGCAACATACCCTGAGAGAGAAAGGGACAGCCTTGAAACAAAGTGAGTAAAGTGGACAAATCAGGATATTGAGGCTTTAATCTCAGCCTGGGGAGAGGTTCCTATGGTCTGAAGACATGACATCACACAAGGCAAGGGTAGCATTCATTTAATTTCATGTCAGCAACACAAAGAAGCAATTATCACAATTACAAATATTTGCTCGTATAAGGCTCAGAAATTGGGAAGGGGTGGGACGGGTGGAGAGAGGAAGCTAGCAACAGCTTTACCCCTCTCCAAAATACTACTGAGTGACCTTAGTTCACAAGACATGTGAGATACCAACCACTGTGCTGTTATCCCACAGTGCATTGCACCAGCACCAGACTTTGCCATGATCAAAATGATCAGTTATGTGGAGTTGATTTGGACGTGCTAAAGATGCAGCTCTAAGAGCCGGGAGACTAGGCTGCTGTTGTGAAACAAGAGTCAAGGTGGCTCATGCTGCCCCCACCTCCTGGGGGCATTGGCTTACCATATTGCAAGGACCACTCAAAAAATGTCAGAAGACGATTATCCCTGATTGAGCTACTGCTCCCATCTTTATTAAACCCCAAGAGGTGTGGGAAAAGGCAAGCCATGAGCAGAGAAAGACATGGACTACACACTATAGCTTTGGTGACTTCATGTAAGTTTGGTTGTTCATGTGCTTCATTGGATTTTTGTGACAGCTTCATGGATGGACTTGGCCACATAGTCCAGGTTCTTGGTAGTTAGACCACACATGTTGATGCGCCCACTAGCCATCAGGTAGATGTGTTTTTCCTTGATCATATACTCCACCTGCTTAGCTGGGGAAACAATTGGACATCAGGTCAGAGCAGTGACCCACAGCTCAGAAAAGCCCAAAGACCTAGTCAGGGATGCTTGAATCTTTCACAAGAAGCACAAAGTTCAAGCAACTGGCCACTAAAATACTGTATGGTGCTTCATCCCTCCCCAGCCACAGATGCAGTGATGCCAAAGCTCCAGTGACACCGAGAGATTCCTGCTTGGACTGCTTCAGCCTAGTTCATCCACAGCAAAACTGTCCCCACCCAATCCTCCCTTCAACAGGCCACTTGATACTTACGGTTCAGCCCTGTGAAGCTGAACATGCCGATCTGCTCTGTGATGTGGTTCCAGGTGCCTGGGGTCCCAAGGGCCTCCAGTCGAGACCGGAGCTCTGACCGCATCAGCAAGACCCGATCTGCCATTGTCTTCACATTGCCCTTCCTGCAGCAGGCAGGAAGCAGAGCATGAGGATGGGCACCCATTCGGTTTGAAGCCATCTGGCCAAGCCTGACACTCAGGGAGACAGCTTCCCTCCCTTGCCCTCTCCCATGGGCCCTGGCAACACGTACCACTCATCAAAGAGCTGCGGGGAAGAAAGTGTAGTTGCCACAATGCGCGCTCCCTGGGAGGGAGGGTTGGACCAAGTGGTGCGTACAATCTTCTCCATCTGGGATAGCACACGCTGCACATTGTCTGCATCCTTCCCCACCACGGTCAGGTTCCCCACCCGTTCATCTGTGGACAAGCCAAGAGATGTGAGCCATTGGTTCCACACGTTGTGGCAAAGCAGAGAATTCCCCACCCCTCACTCAGCATGCCAGCCCCATCTGTCTGGGTATGATGCTACTGGGCCAGCTTACTGCCAGACACTCACTGTAGAGCCCAAAGTTCTTGGAAAACGACTGTGCACAGAAGAGCTCAAAGCCCTCGGAGACAAAGTATCGCACAGCCCAGGCATCCTTGTCCAGGCTGCCAGAGGCAAACCCTTGGTAGGCCGAGTCGAAGAATGGAAACAGGCTCCGGCGCTGCAAGGAGGAACAGTGTTAGAGGGAAATCCCCTCCCAACATCTTTTACCCAGCACAGTACCCGTAGGAGGGAAAAAATGACCAGTGAATTTCTGTGTAAATTCAAAGGAAACATGGTCCAGCAACACCAGACTGAAATACTTTCTTTCTACTACAGAAAGACTATAGAAAGACTTTCTATAGAAAGACTAAAGCGGTCAATAAAAGTTAATGCAGGAGAAAACTGCATTTGAGGACACAAAAAGTGCACCACTTCATATGCTACTATCCAGCACCTGCCTGTGGATAATCTTTCCAGCAGGATAAATCTCACTATGGCCCATTCCACAGAGTACGAAAATAAGAACTTGGAGGCACAAGAACTGCAGTGCATCTCTCCTCTGAGCATAGACAACCAGCATTCTGTTGTCCACCTCAGCCTTCAACACCAGCTTTGTGGGACTCTTTCAGCTTCTGCCACATCTCATGCCATTCCCCCAAAGGCCATTTCAGATGAAAATGCTGTGGCTGGCTCAAGAGCTATTTGCCCCCTCAGCACTGCTTTAGCCCCAGCAGCAGCCCATACCTTCATGACAGCAGCAATCTGTTTCCACTGCTCGGGAGTAGGGTCTGTGCCTGTTGGGTTGTGCGCACAGGCATGGAGGATGAAAATGGAGAACTCTGGGGCGCTCTGAGGACAGAACATGTCTTGGTTACATACACACATGGACAAGACTGGGCACACACAGCACAGGGAGAGGCCTGGAGCTGCTCTGGGCAACAACAGCCTCTTTTGCAGTGATCCACTTCCCAGCACAGTACACCAGAGCCTAGCCAGCTGCAGATACTGACAGTACAGCACCAAGCTCAGCCCATCCCATGTCAGTTTTACTCACCTCCATGTCATTCAGCAGCCCCTGGAGATCCAGACCCCTCTTAGCAGCATCCCAGTAGT